CCCCTTACTTTCCCCGACCCCTGAGGAGCTTCTCTGCACCCTGCCTAGCTCAAATCCCGTCCCTTCAGTCCTGTAGTTCATCCCTCAGTCACTCAGGCCCTTGCCACAATGATTTCCCTGCTCCCATGAGCAGGGATGGTGGAATTCCCCCGGCAGCTCTCAATTCCGTTTTTGAGAGCAGTCACTTCCAGGCTGTGAACTGGGTGCTGCCCACTTCCCTCGCGCCCCTCGGAGAGGCAGTGGGCAGCAATCTGTGCCTGACAGCCCACAGGCAGCAGGGCTTGAGTTCGCTCCCGTGCCCCACCATGCTCCACAGGACTGCAGTTTCCACTGCCGGTTGTAGCACTTGGAAGCAGCTCCATGAGGCAGTTTTATTCGGGGGTGCAAAGGGGGATCTCCTCTGGCAAGCAGCAGGCCAGGGCTGGGAGCAGCTCTGATACTGCATCTAGGGAATGGCCGCGCCACCACTTGAAACATCCAGTGAGGATCTGGGAGGGCTTTGCTGCATCTTTGCAACAGGTCCTTGAAGCAACTGCTTGTTAAGAACACGCCCGGGACTCGATGGTCTCGATGGTGAGGGATCACACCTGCTCTGCCGCAGATTTAGAACAGCCTGGTGTTTTGGGTGGGGAGAGAGTGGTGCTGTCACCCCATAACCACTTGAAAACAGCTACCAGCACAGTTTTTTGCAAAAACAATTACTTTGCTATGCAGTAACTGGAGACTTGACCCTTGCCAGGAAGTACAGCCTAGCAGCCCTCAAATTTTTACTCTTGCAGCTTCAGGGTGCAGATGGAGTGGCCGTTCCACCTCGTTTTCCTTTGCTGCTTGCCTCTTCTGCCCACGAGCTGACCGCTTCTCATTTTGGCTTGGTTTGCTACTTCCTTTGCCAGCCATGTAACCCAGCCAACAGCAACCTCTTGCTCTCTCTTAGTGCAGGCGGAAAGTCCGAGCTGCAAGTAGCCAGAAATAAGGTGAGATTTACATCTCACAGAGTCAGGACCAAAAGTCGTGATGGTGTGAAGCGGATGTTTTAAAAAAAAAAAATTAAAAAAAAAAAAAAAGTAAAAGCAGAGTGCAGGCAACAGCCGAGCCTGAGAACCGGGAGTTTGCGGTCCCCGTGCAACAGCGGGTGCTGCTGCCCCTGCTCGGAGGAACTCTGCGAGCGGGGGGGAGGGACCTCCCCAGTGCACAAGGCAACAGCCCCCGGCCTCAGCTTTGTGGTGGCTCCGGAGAGTCAGCGGCAGGGAGGGAAAGCAGGGTGAGGGGCGCAGGGACGGTGCAGGAGTAGCAGGAGTAGCTTTGCTGCTTTTGTCACAAGAAGGGAGTGTTGTCGCTGGGGAAGAAGGTGGAGCTGCAGCCGTGAGCATGGAGAGGTGCCTGAGGAGTGTTGGCAGAGCTGGGTGACCAGGTAGGGCAGGGTGTTACATCAGGTGCCCCGTGTGAGCTGCACAGCCAGCTGGCCCCGGTACGGGCTGCCCCGCAGCACAGCTGACGGTGGGCACGGGACCGAAGGGGAACCACCCCAGCTGAGACAGAAAGAGCGTGGGCCTTTCACTCGGGCTCGGCAGCGGCATGTGCTTGTCCTGCCTTGTTATGTGCATGCTGTAATAAAATTTCCCCTTTAAGGCTGGGCTGAAGTTATTTTTACTCGTGGGGTGGTGACGGGAACACAGAACGGAGCAGGAGCTCTGAACTGTTCTTACCTGATCTGCGGCGGAGGGGCGGACGGAGGAGGAAGGAAGCTCAGAAAAGGAGAGGGATCGAGAGAAGGGAGGGGAAAAGAAAGCAGGCAGGGAGGGCATCCCATGGGGGGGGACTAGGGAGGGGACCAGCTGGGGAAACTGAAAAAGAGGGAACGAGGAAGAGGAGTAAGGAGGGAGAGCTCCTTTGGGAAAAGCGAAGTGGCTCCGGGGAGAAGAAGGGCTGCAAGCATCCAATGCCACGCATTACCGAGGGGAGCTGAGTGGGTACAGCCAGCAGAGCAGCTTTTGTGGTCTCCTCCTGACTCTCAAGATGATGAAAAGACAGTTTAATCGAATGCGCCAGCAGCTGTCCCATCCCAGCATCACCATTAGGTAAGGACTTCTCCACTACCTGTACCAGAGGGAGTGGGATGCGGGTCCTGGGGTCTTGTGCTGGGGCTGGACTGACATCCCAGTGCTGGTGGACTGGGAAAAGGGGTAGGAAATTTTAGAGCATCTTCAGAAAAAGCTGAGGGGCTTTGGGAAGGCTGTATTGGTGCTGCTCAGCAGTAAATGATCCTCAAGCCCAGTTACCTCTCCCAGGGCCCACAGGTACTGCATTTACCAGGAAACAGGGCTTTCCAAAGCTTGGCTTCACCAGGATGCAGGGCAGTGGGGCAATGGGGAGGGACCTTCCAGCCACATGCCCCTGGCTGTGCAATGACCAGGAAGGTGATCAGGCTGGGACAAGCCCTCCCTGCAGAATCTGGGGTGCCCCACAGGAACCAAGTGGCCTGCATAGCTCTAGCCAGCCCAGCAGCATGAGCAGCCCAGAATGCCCTTTGAGGAGAGGACCAGGAGTCCTCAGATGGACCCATGGAGGACTTACAGCTTCACACAAAACCCTCTGTCCCTGTCCTATCTCTGCCATTTCCTTCTTTTTCTCCTCGGCTTTCCAAAGCTCTTCCCTTGCAAAACCCAGAACTGAAATTACAGGGCTGGGCTCTCCTTGCCCAGCCCCCTCACTCCCTTTCCTACTGCCACCTCTGCAGGTTCCCAGCACTGGGTGGCTGAGTGGGACCAAGTGTGTCCCCTGAACCACTGAGCTCCTTCAGCCTGCCCAGCAAATCAACCACAGGGAAGCAATTCCTGTATGTTGATGGCCTCTTGCTCTCCTTGCATTCCCTGGAAGGGAGCATGATGCCTGTTCCCACACCCCTTCCCTCAAGATTTCTCATCTCCATGACAGATGCACCTCCCTTTTGTTTAATGCCAGGCAGGCAAGTCTCAAGCAGCTTGTGAAGCAAGCTCTTCACCTGCTGCAGAGCCTCTCCTCTGGGGACCATGACCTCACGTGATCTTGCTTGCCTTCAACCAAACCACCCACGTTTCCTGCAGCTCCACATCCTCATCCCACATTGGTTTTGGCAGGCAGTGAAAAGAGAGAAACATGAACTGAGGAAAAAGCAGCAGCAGATGGAAATCAAATTGGGTTCTTGGGACACAGCAATGGTAGCAGGCTGTGAAGCAAAGCTTCCTCTGTGGGAGGCATCGCAGAGGTTTCAGGGTCATGGTGGCTGGTTTTGAATTAGGCTTTGAACAGAACCACAGAAAGCTGGGTTTGTGTAGGCATTTCTGGAGGGGCTGCTGTTGGTCTTGGACCCCAGTTTGACCACAAGGACACCCTTGCTCCTGCACCAGTGGCCCCAAAGAGTACCTAGGCCTGCAAAGATGCGCACCAGACTGCAACATCACTGTCCTGGATTCGCCTTCAGGGTAGAGATGGGTAGTCAGGGGCAGTAAACATCCTGCTCCTGTTGTGGCCCTGCTGATCACTCTGACTCCAAAAACACAAGTCACATTTGGACTTTTTTACTGAGGTGCACTGAACTGGAAATCCTGTCTGATGAGGTGTCCACCAGCCAGCAAAGCTGGCTCATTTGCACTGCTTCTGCTGTTCTTGTCCTCCCAGGCTCATTCTACCCATAGCCTTGTATCTGATAGGCCAGGATATAGCCTGTGTCTCCTGCTCCCAGGAACCCAAAGAGAGGCAGGTATGATGCATTAGGACCTGCCTTCCCAAGGGAGCGTGGTGGAGGCCATCCCCATTTGCTGATGGTTCCTTCTCCTTCCTCTGCAGAGCCCAAGAAGCAACTGAGCTCCTGTCAGAAGATTTGCTGCAGGTGAGGTGTGGGCTGGGCTGGCAGGCATGTGTCTGCTTGTGCCTGGGCGTGGGAACCTGTCCCGCTGCTGCCTGCCATTCGCCCTGCCAGCATGTCCAAGTCATGGGGCTGGGATCTGCCCACGTGCCAGAGGGTGATTTCAGGACCACGGTGTTAAGGGATTGGCAGGCTCCTGCTATCAGGAAGGGCTTTCCCAGCTGCTCAGAGGCATGAATCCTGACCATTTGTGCCCCCTTTTCACTGGACCAGATGCTCCAGGCTGTGGTAGGATGCTGGGCAGGTGTTGTGGTTTGGCACTGGCCAAATGCCAGGTACCCACAAAAGTTGCTCACTCACCCTCCCCTGTCACAGCTGGGCAGAGGAGAGAGAAATTTAATGAAGGCTTTATGAGTTAAGGACCAGGAGAAAACATTCCAAGAGTAAAACAATCTCAACTTAGAGGTACAAAGTGAATTTATTACTAACAAAATCAGAGGAGGATAATAAGTAAAATAAGCCCTTAAAAACACCTTTTCTTCCCCCAAACCTTCCATCCTTCCCACCAACAACACAGGGGGCAGGGCGTGGGGGTTTTGGTTAGTTCATCACCCAAGATCTTCCGCTGCACAGGGAGAGGAGTCCTTCCACTGCTCTGCTGCACTGCGGTGTCCCTCCCACGGGAGACAATTCTCTCTGAACTTCTCCAGCATGGCTCCAAATCTCACAAGCAGCAGTCCTCCCAAAACTGCTGCAACATGAGTCCTTGCCACAGGCAACAGTCCTCCCAAAACTGCTGCAGCATGGGTCACTCTTCCATGGGGTGCAGCCCTCCAACGACAGGCTGCTCCAGCCTGGAAGCAGGGCCCTCTCTTCACTGCGTCTCCCACTGGATCACAGCCTCCTCCAGGCATCCACTCACTCCAGAGTGAGCACCTCCCCCAGGGGCTGCAGGTGGATCTCTGTATCCCCTGTGGATCCCCATCGGCTGCAGGGCACAGCTGTTTCACCATGGTCATCACCACAGCCTGCAGAGGAACCTCAGCTCTGGTTCCTGGAGCACCTCCTGCCCCTCCTTCTCCACTGACCTTGGTGTGTCCATGTGGTTTCCCTCACATGTTCTCACCTCCTCCTCCTCTTCTTTGGCTAGAAAAAAACTGTGTTCTCACTTGGTTTTGATTTTCTTCTTAAATATGTTTTCACAGAGGCATTACCACTATCTCTAATTGGCCCAGGCTTGGCCAGCAGCAAGTCCATCTTCAGAGCCATCAGGGATTGGCTCTGCCAGACATGGTGGAAGCTTCTGCCAGCTTCTCACAGAAGCCACCTCTGTGGCCCCCCCCTCCTACCAAACACCAGCCCATTCAAAACCAACACAGCAGCCATCCTCACCCAGAGCTGGGTAGTGGAGAAATGGCCTTGAGGTGCCCATGGTTGACAAAATGGTTTCTCCTGCCCCCACTCTTCCACCCCCAGATTGAGCAGAGGATTGAGCCGGCCAAGCGAGCAGCTCACAGTGTGTCCAAGAGGCTCCAAGCCTGCCTGCAGGGACAATGTGGCTCCGAGATGGACAAGCGAGTGGTGAGAAAATCTTCCCACTGCAGCCTGTGCTCACCCCAGCTCTGTCCCTTGCCAGCAACGGAGATGCCAGGCCCCTGCTTTGCCTGCTTTGCTGAAGGGTGGCCCAAAGCTATGCCAAGCCCAGGTCCCATTATCAGCAGCAGCCTCCAGCATGTGCCTGGGACAAGCAGAGCAGGGGATCCCTCTCTATTACCATCACAAATTTGGGTTACTCTTGAGAGAGTGTCTTTGCATTGAATAACCTGCCAAAGCCCTTGTTGTCTATGTTCCTTCCCAAACCCCCATGAATCCTGGCACCCATGGTGCCCTGTGGTGAGGAACACCACAGTGTGGGCAGGCACAGTGGTGTCATCACTTCTCTCGCAAATCCTTGGCTGTGTGCAGAAGAAGCTGCCTTTGATGGCTCTGTCCATGGCGATGGCTGAGAGCTTCAAGGACTTAGACACAGAGTCCAGCCTTGGGTAAGTACTGGTGGGAGAAAGTTCCAGAGTGACCCCAAAAGATGCCAGATCCTGGTAGTGACATTGTCTTGGCTCAGGGGCTGCCATGGCTCAAACCAGGTCCCCAGAGCAAACACTGGTGTTGCACTGGGAGACGGGACAGCCAGCACCTTCAGCCTCCCATTGCAGAGTAGGGCCAGGGGCTGCCTCAGGGTCCCATGTGGGTACAGGTACAATGTGGATGTTGGGTCAGAGAAGGGCATGGCTCCAGCCTGCAATAATTTCATCTCTGTCCCATGCAGGAAAGCCCTGGAGATGGGGTGCTGCATACAGAGCTCACTGGCCAAAATCGTCGCTGAGTTTGAGATTGCCCTGGAGCACTACGTCCTGCAGCCACTCAACAAGCTCAGTGAGGTAGTCCTGGCTGCCCCACTGACTCCACTCTCCAATGTCACCACTCCTTTCTGTGTCCCCAGGCCTCCCCCACTCACTCTGTCCTTCTCTCCTCCAGGAGGAGCTCCCCACCATCCTGAAGCGCAAGAAGACCCTCCAGAAGTTGATTTCTGACTGGAACACAATCAAGAGCCGGTATGGGGCACACTGCAGCTCTGTGGGGACCAGGACATACAGAGCACAGCCCCCAGATGGGTTGGGGGAGAGAGGAAGATAATTGCCTTGGGGAGTTAATTTCCTCTTCAGGAGGACCCAACTAGCTCCTCTCTGTAGATGCATCTTGCTCTGGGCTCAGATGCTGATTCCCTAGCACCAGAGAGGGCAGTTCTGCTGCTAAAGGCAGTAAAGTGTCCCAGTGCTGCTTGGTACACTGAGATCACCTCGTTCCAACTCCTGCCAGTGGTAGCCCTTGCCATGCCAGATTTCTCTGGAAGTCTGCACACTTGTTCTGTCCAGCAATCCTGGCACTGAGACCATATACCTCTTCTGTGCCACCCCAAAGGCTGAACCAAGCTGCCAAGAGTTCCAGTAACAGCACTGGAGCTGGTGCTGGCCCAGGGGCATCCTCTGCTGCCAACAAACTGGAGATCTTGAAGGAAGAAGAGGAGGAGGTGAAGAGGAAGGTGGAGCAGTGCAAGGTGAGATGGTCTCTTGTTCTCCTCTATGGATCAGCTCCAGGGCTGCAGACCTGCTCCCCTCCACCAGTCTTTTCCCAGGTAACCCCACACTGAGATGGATTGCAGCCAGAGAGCATGTCCTGCCCTCTGAAAGCAAATGGGCCCCTCAAGCAGGAATAGGGAGATGGCCCAAGCCCTGGGAAGAAAAAGAGTAAAGGAGTTCAAAGCACAAGCTGCTGCAGAGAGGAGGCTCCAGGGGCTAAATCAGGGAGCACATGGGGTCCCCTTAGGCTGGGAACTATCTGAGCTAGGATCTGTTGTGTGTGGCAGAGAAGTTTCACATCAGCTTTCTCCACTTCTGCCCTATTTCTCTGAAAAGCCCAGCACCTCGTCTGGCAGAGCTCATGATCTCACTGGAGCTGAAGGTGCAGAGACCTTTTGTTCCTGAGACACTTGTGCCAGGACCTTGATCATGGGGCAGGTTGGTGCCAATACCCAAACTAATGGAAGCAAGGAGGAAGCCCCACTGCACCCAGAGACTCTGTTTAGACCACTCACAGACCAGATGAAAGGGCTTCATGAAGGTGTCTCCTCTTCCTCGGGTGCAGAGAAGGGATGGAAGATTGCTCTTCTTTGTGTCTCCCTTCCCAGGATGAGTACATGGCTGACCTCTACCACTTCTCCACCAAAGAGGACATCTATGCCAGCTACTTCATCAAAGTAAGTCCTCTGTCTCACTTCTCCCCAGTGTGTGAACATAGACTGCAACATGTCTGAGCCCAGCCTTGTCTCCGTCCACCCCAAGTGCCCCCAAGCAGGGCAGGGGACAGATCAAGGCATCAGCAGGTGCCTATAGGTGGCCCTTCTCCAGACACTGCAGGTGAATGCCACCCCTAACACCAAGTGCAAACAAGCAGCTTGTCCTGATGACACCCCTCTCCAATTTGCCCTCTACCCCTTACTACAGACACAGTCCCAGGGACCCCAGGTGGGCTCCCCTTCCAGCTCCCTCTTTGCCCTGTCCTCATATGGGTGCAATGTCCTGGGAATGAGCACCTCTCCGAGAGAGGCTGGTGCTAACTGAATGCTGTTTGCCTGTCCCCTGTCTGGCAGCTATTGGAAATCCAATCCCAGTACCACCGGCAGTCACTGGAATCTCTGGACTCAGCTCTTGCAGAGCTGAGGGAAAGCCACAGACAGACAGGTACCCTCTGGTTCTCCATGCAGCCTGGCAAGGACTGCAGCTGAGCCTGGGGGATACAAGTGTGGCCAGCAAAGCTGGAAAAGGCTCATTTTCCGTCCCTACACCTGCTGCTGCCTACCATGCTGGGCTGGTAGATTGGGGACTGCAGCTTGACATGGGCTGGGGATGCTGCCTGTCCTGCCTCTGCCTCTGCCTGTAGCCAGCCAAGTTCAGCTTGGAGCAGGATGTTGCCATGGCCAAATGCTGGATGGTCCCAGTGTCCTCCATCCCTCTTGACATTTTCCTCCCTCTTCCAGAGCCTTCCTTCACAACAGACACCCCAGTGGCGGGGTACTATGGAGTGTCCCTAGAGACACACCTCAAGAGCTTAGGCCGGGAGATTGCGCTTCCCATTGAAGCCTGTGTCATGATGCTGTTGGCTTCTGGCATGAAGGAGGAGGTAGAGAGTGCTCCACACCCCCTCATCACTTTCTCCCCCTAGATGCACTCCTCCCAAACTCAAAATGCATCCCTTCCCTCTTCATCCCATCTCCAGGGGCTCTTCCGGCTGGCAGCGGGCGCCTCAGTGCTGAGGAAGCTGAAGAGCAGCTTGGCCAGCGGCTCCAATGCCCTGGAGGAGTTTTACTCCGACCCCCATGCTGTGGCTGGTGAGTGCCAACAAGGCAGGGTGGGGGGACATGACCAGGCAGTCCCTGCCATCCATCCCTCTGCTGCCATTAGCTCCACTGCTCCTCCTCTCCTCCCAGGTGCACTGAAATCCTACCTGCGGGAGCTACCCCAGCCTTTGATGACATTCGAACTCTATGACGAATGGGTCAAAGTGGCCAGGTGGGTCCAGGCACTGGGGAGGAAATCACTGGCAGGTCTCAAAAAGCCCCCAGTCAACCCCCTCCATCCTTCCTGGCACTTGGAGCAGGTTTGCTCTGTCTCATTTGGGGAGATACGAGCACAGTGCCTCCGTGGATGCCTGCCTTCACTGCCCAGTAAAGCTGGACATCTCCATCTCCAGGGCTATGGCCTGCACAGGGCAGTCAACACTGGCCTTTGTCCTTGTCCACTGTGTCCCTCTCTGCCACAAGGAACAGGCCGAGCTCTCTGTTCTTCCTTCTATCTTACAGCTTAAAGGACATTGACAGCCGAGTACAGAGCCTGAGAGACACCTGCAGCCGCCTGCCCCAGGACAGCTACAACAATCTGAGGTGTTTTGTCTGAACAAGGCTTCTTCAGCCCCAAGCAATCACCAGGGTAGCCATTCCCTCCTCAAATCCCTACCTCCTAAACCCTTGCCCTCCTTTCACCCCACAGGTATCTGATCAAGTTTTTAGCCAAGCTGGCTGAACACCAGGAGGTGAATAAAATGACCCCCAGCAACATTGCCATTGTGCTGGGCCCAAACCTGCTGTGGTCACAGCAGAGCACAGGGTAAGGTCTGGTTTGAAGGGGTGGGAGGCATCTCCCTAGCCCCAGCTGGGATGCCTTGGAGGCAAATGCCATGGCAAAGGCTGATCCAGCAGCCTTCAGACTGGTCTAGAACACTTAGAAATCTTCCATCCTCGAGTCCTATCCCTTGTTCTCATGCTCCCCAGGTTGCATGTCCCCTCACTAAGCACATGTCCTCTTAGCCACTCTGCAAAGTAGTAGAGGAGAGGGCTGAAACCCAAAGCATGTTTTGTGACATGGATGGCTTTCAACACCACTGGCCTCCAACATCAAACCAGGGTTCCCAGGACATGGAAAAAGGCCCATCACACACACTGCCATGGCCCTTGGCTGGGCTGCCTTCCCTTCAGACCCTGACCCCTGCAGACTGAACACAAAAACCCATTTAGAGTTAATTCCCCCAAACCCTTCTTCTGATGCCTCCCCCTGTCTCACAGAGATCCCACGCAACTGGACTTGGCCTCAGTCTCCTCCATCCAGGCTGTGGTAGAAGCCCTCATCCAGAATGTGGATACTCTCTTCCCTGGAGGTAGGGCCAGGGCATCACTTGGTGGGCTTCAGCAGAAAGTGACAGGGAGAGGAAGGGAAAGGAACATTTTTCCATCTCCGGGAGGGGAGAAGTGGGAGGCTGCTCTGGCTCCCTGCTGTGGGATCATTGCTCTGGGTCACAAGTGCTTCCTCACAGGATCTCCTCCTTTTTCTTCAACCAGAGTTAGATTTCAATGTCTCAGGCATGTTCATGCCACCCACCAACACCGGACTTTGCAAGGCTGCCCCAGTGGAAGAGCCAACTCCTGCGACCCCTCCAGCCAGCACCCCCACCCTTTTGGATGGAGAGGCGTAAGTCTGATGGGAGCTAGAGGCTCTGGCTGTCCCAGCTCTTCCTGTGTCCTCCCTCCCACCCCACATCATGGCCGTACCCTCGCAGGTGCCTCACAGCCAGGATCACCATGCACAACCAAAGCCTGACTTGCCCTGTTCTCTGTGCAGCACCTCCAGGGACCCTGAGGCCAGGTCCCAGCCGACATCCCCAGCACTGCCCAGGTCACCTCCTGAAGCTGCAGGGCCACCAGCTCCCATGATGACTGACAGCACCACCCGCAAAGGTTAGGGTGCCCCTGATGCCTGGGAAATTACACCCCCCAATGCCACCTCCTGTGGTTGTCATCATCCTGCTGTTCTCCACGCAAGTGGGCACTGGGGATGTCCTTGTCACCAAGTAAGGGGAAAGGCCTCTGACTGGGGCAGCATGGCTAGGATCCAGCCAGGATGGGACCATGGGATGGTGGGACACAGTATGTCTTCCAGTGCTGGGTTGAACACCTCCGGTAAAGAATTGTCCAAGCTCATGGCCCTGTGTGAAAGGAAGAGGGAAAAGCCCCCCAGAAAAGCTGGTGTGCACTTGTGTCTTCAGGACAGGAGTTGGGCAAGGGGCAATTTGTCCAACCACCTGTCTGCAGCCCCCTCTGCCCTTTGGAGAGATCCCAGCCCAGCTTTCTTTTCAGGCAAACGCCCAGCTCCGGCCCGACCCACAATGCCACCACCGCCTGTGACTCAGCCTCGGAGCACAGCTCCTGCCCAGGCAGCCAGCCCCAAAGCCCTGCCACGACGGACGCCCAGCCGAGCCCCCGGCATCCCACCGCCACTCCCTCCACAGCCAGCACCCCGCCACAGCCGAGATGCCTCGCCATCCCCCAAGCCTTCCGCTGGTGAGGCTGACGCAGTGGCTGCCATGGACTGCGTGCCAGGAACCACAGAGGAGGGGCAGCCACTGCCAGCAGGAGGAATCCCCCTGGCCACATCGGCCCCAGAAGGACAGCCCACAGAGAACTGAACAGGGTGAGGGGCATGGGGAAATCACAGGTCAGGGAGATTGGATCCAGTGCCACTCTGGGACCCAGCAGGTGCTGTGGAAATGCAGGCCTCAGGGACAGCATCTCTTAGTCCTCCTCCTTGTTCCCTTGGCTCACACCACCTGGCACGCTTTGCTTGCCTTCTCTCGCTCTCCTGTCTCCACCTCCCCACACCACCACGTCCCTGCCGGAGCCCAGCCACCAGTGAGGGCCCAGATCCCTGCCCAGATCCCCCACTGCAGGCCCAGCCACTGCTTGCAACTCTTGGGCCATTGTGGGCAGCTTGGCCCCATGGGGCCATCTGCAGATGCTCATCCATGATCCCAGTCCCATTTTCCCTTAAAATGCATTGCCTCAGGAACACACAGATGGATATATATAAATAAATGCATTGCCTCAGGAACACACAGATGGATATATATAAATATACATACATATATATATATATAGGTAGATATATATATATATATAGATACAGATATAGACATAGATATTTGGAGTGCATGATCTATTAGGAGTAGCTGAGGGAGCTCAGTTGTTTGGCCCATAGAAAAGGAGGCTCAGGAGTGACCTGATCACTCCCTACAACTCCCTGAAAGGAGGGTGCAGCCAGGTGGAGACCGACCTCTTCTCCCAGGTAACAGGCGGACAGTCTTAAGCTGCACCAGGGAAGGTTTAGGTGGGACAGTGGGAGGAATTTTTTCACAGAAAGTGATCAGACATTGGAGTGGGCTGCCCATGGAGGTGGTGGGGTCACCGTCCCTGGAGGTGTTTAAGGAAGGACTGGATGTGGCACTTACTGCCATGGGCTGGTTGACATGGTGGTGTTCGGTCTCAGGCTAGACTCGGTGATGTCAGAAGGCTTTTCCAGCCTGAGTGGTTCTGTGACACTTTGCCAATATTTGAGAAGCTGGTGTCAAAGTCGCAGGCCGGTGTGAGCAGGGCACACTTGGCAGTCTGAAGTGCTGGAGGGTGCAGCCCGGGGGGCCGCAGCGAGGACGAAAGGAGGCGGCAGCGCGGCCGGCGCCCACCGCTGGCTGGAACGCGGGGCCGGGCCGTAATGGCGCC